CCTTTTCAAAATAAAACTGCAACAATCCGCTCCTTTTCAAAATAAAAGTGCAACAATCAGGGCCAGATTAAACGTCTTTTCAAAATAAAAGTGCAGGCTGCAGCTCCAGGTCTGAGCTCTGATCAGCAGAAACTGAAGCTTTAATTCAGGATTGTTGGTGAAAACAGAACGGATCAGATCCGACTCCCGCAGACCCGAGTCAATCGGAGCGGGTCCCGGGTCCTGGTCTGGACTCACATGATGGTCTGGAAGTCGTCGTCCACCAGGATCATGTCGGCCGCCTCCTTGCAGACGTCGGTGCCCGTCTGACCCATCGCCACGCCGATGTCGGCTGCTTTCAGAGCCACGGCGTCGTTCACGCCGTCCCCCGTCATGGCCACCACGGCGCCGAGGTTCTGGAGCGACTGCAGAGAAGCAGAACCCGTTTAACTCGGTGTCGTGGCGCTGCTCAGGTGGGACGGCACCTGCGTTCTGCTCACCTTGACGATCTTCAGCTTGTGTCTGGGGCTGGCTCGATAAAACACGGATATCTGTGGAGAGAAACATCTGCCGTCATTTCAACCCAGACAGAAGTCCAACAGAACCGCCTCCAAAAGTCCAACAGAACCGCCTCCAAAAGTCCAACAGAACCGCCTCCAAAAGTCCAACAGAACCGCCTCCACTGTCCTCACCCTGGGGACCATGCTGGACAGCTGCTGCAGGTCCAGGTGGTCCACTTCTTCTCCTGACAGACACTGACATCCCTTGGAGTACAGACCCAGCCGGCTGGCTGCAGACGGAACAAACAAACAAACAAACAAACAAACAAACAAACAAACAAACAGGGTCCTTTAAAGCGGCTGCAGAAACACCACACCGTGTCTTTATCAGAAAGACGTCTGACCGATGGACACGGCCGTCTCCTGAGAGTCTCCCGTGATCATCTTGATGGCCACGCCGGAGCCGATGAGCGTGGCGACGGCCTCCCTCACGCCTTCCCTGGGGGGGTCGATGATGCCCACCAGACCCAGGAAGGTCAGGTTCCCCATCTGAGGCCCCGAAGCAAACGCCAACACTGCAGAACAAACAAACAAACAAACAAACAAACAAACAAAGACGTCAGAGCTCTGGAGAGTACGGCAAGCACTTGTGGCATTTATCCAACGAGTCATTTCCTGCAGCAGAACCTGTCAGGTCACACTCGTTAAACTCGTTAGTCAAACCATGTTACCTAATGCGTTAACTAGTTAACTAACAAAAGTTGACTAGTTACAGACTAGGTAAATAGAAAGGCCCAAACAACTAGTGGAACTATACTGGTCTTACTGGTTAAAAAGTGGAGGTCAGAGTGCTCACTAGTTAACTAGTTGACAGGTTTTTATTCTTACAAGTTAACTAGCCTGCTATGAAGTAACTACCAGCTGATCCAATGTGCCTAAAATGTTTACTCTTTAACGAGGTAAACTAGCCGACATATTTAGCTTCACTAGTTAACTAGTAGGGTCTAAATGGGAGTCTGATGGAGTTAAACTCAAAGCAGTCTGCCCCTCAGTTAACTAGTGTTAACTTATTTTTATCTGAATGTTTCTGCTCAGTGTCCTGAGATGACTTGACACTATATAAATAAACTACATTTAACTAGTATCAACTAGTCAAATAGTGAGCATGTTAGAGTTTACTAGCTGACTAGTGATTACTTTGGGCCTCTAACTTGTAGGCAGTGAGTGTGTGTGAACTAGTTAACTCGAGTTAAACCAGGCTCAACTAGTTGGACCTGGTGGGGGGACTTCAGAATCTGACTAGTTGATATTTTTCAGCTACGGGTGCAACACTTTAACGAGTTAACGAGTTGGACTGAACGTGTTGCTACCTCAGCAGGAAGAGGTCCAACTAGTCTGACCCAAACTGTGAGACCACCGGACCTCCCCAAAGAGACAAGTCTGTCCCCTGTCCCCTGTCCCCCAGTCACCTCGGAGCCCGGAGCTGCCCATGTAGCTGATCTGCTGCTGGTAGAGCTCCCTCTGCTGCTGGTTCAGAGGCAGAGCGTCTCCTCGGCTGTGGTAGGAGCTGCAGAACCGGAACACCTGCTCGTACGCCCCCTTCACGAAGTACACTCCCGTCTTGTCCTGGCCGAGGGGACAGACACACGATGAGTTCAACACAAACCACTGCACACCCACACAACTTCAATCCAATTCAAAAATACTTTATTAATCCCAGAGGGAAATTATTTGTTGTTGTAACTCGTTATCCTCATTTCATTAAGAGATGTTTTAGATGCTGATGCTGTAGACAGGAAGGATCGTTGGTTACGTACTGTAACCCCAGATTCTATGAATATAAGCGTAGCCCTTTAAGGCCTTCGCTTTAGTGGGTTTATCCCGTTATGCAGAGCATAAGCACTGAAAAAAAATTAGTCCACGCCCACCTGCTGTGTGGGCCCTACCCGGTCCGTATAAATTACGTTAAGAGCGGGAAATCGGCTCCCAAAATAGCTTTTTTCTTCAGCCATTTAGGAGCCAGTGAGGCCCGACGCTTAAAGGGCTACGCTTATATTCATAGAATCTGGGGTTACAGTACGTAACCAACGTTCTATGTCATATAAGCTTCGCCCTTTAAGGCCTTCGCTTTAGTGGGTAAAGGGCGAAGCCGATGTGGTCCTCGCCTCACTGGGTCCATTCGAACACAGTAAGAAGCGGAAGCTTGCCCAAAAAACGTCTTGTCACTCAGCTCCCCATGTGCATAACTACGCATCGCGTAATTATGTGCCATGCACAGACGCATGTTGTGTAGCTATGCGTTCTGACAAAGCATGAATACCCCGGAAAACTTTCAACGGGAAGAAGAAGTTGAAAAGAGGGGGGGGGGGGGGGGCATGAACCAACTGGTTCATGGCTGAACAGTATAAACAGATTAATGTCCATAAATTGATTATAAATCAATTGAACTGATTGGTAACAATAATCATGAACTGATTAGTGACAATATAACCAAAATCACAGACACGACTTGTGACTGATAACAACATCTCACACTGTAATGCATGCAGACAGAAGTGAGCTTAAACAGAGTTCCATGAGAACAACAATATTCATTCTGTTAGAGCACTAAGGACAGAATGTGTCATGGAACGAGCCGTTACATCACGTAGGTAAAAGCGAATAAATGAGCAGGGTGTTGACCATGCAGCCGCAGTGCAGATGTCCTGCATTGACATACCATTATGCAGAGCAGTCGAAGATGCGATACCCCTGGTCGAGTGTGCTTAGAGGTTGACAGGAGGCTCTAAATCTGATGCTCTGTAGGCTTCAGAAAAGGCCTCACACAGCCAGTGTGACAAGCGCTGGATGGATAACGGCGACCTGTAGAAGCATCTCTATAATGCACAAACCATTGTTGAGTTGAAACGCATTGCAGCTGTGTGCGTTATGTAACACGTCAACGCCCGCACCGGGCAGAGAAGATGAAAAGATGCTTCCTCTTCTGATCTGTGGGGGGGAAAAGACCCCTCCAACGATATCACTCTTGATTTAAAAGAGCTCGTGATGTTTTAGGCATAAAAGCTGGGTTGGTCTTAAATCAGCTGAGCTGCCCGTCAGCCTAATTCTAAGGCATGACGAAGCAACAGAGAGGGCAGATAAATACTTACCCTCTTAGCGGGTGTTAAAACCAGCAACAGGGCTGTTAAAAGAGACAAGAATTTAAATGAAACCTGATCCAGAGGCTCAATTGAAGCTTTGATCAGGGCTCGCAGGACCAGCGTTAAACCCACTGTGGAAAACAAGTGGGCGTGAAAAACAGGCCTACATCTCTGTACACCTTTTAGAAACCGCTTCATCAGCGGGTGATAAAAGCTGTTCTGTCTCCAAACCCTTTGTGGCAGGAAGAGATGGCTGCAATCGTACGTTAAAGCGTACTGAAAGCCAACTCCCTATCCATCAGCTGTTGTAGAAAAACAACACGCCGCTTAAAAGGCATGAGGTGGTCTCTAAACCTTCTCTGTGCACCAGCGCTGAAAAGCCGTCCCCTTGATGTGTACAGAACTGTGGTAGATGCAGCACGTGAATCTTGAATTGTGCACACTATCTCCTGAGGGAGACCCATCCTCTAAGTGGAACCGCTCAGCGGTCAGACCCACCGGTGTTGACCTATTTCTGGGTAACTCTTGGTCGCTCCTCCTGCCTGAAGGAGAGCATCCTTCCTCCATGACAGTTCCACGGCGACCCAACAACAGACGTTGCAGGCCTGGGAACCATAGTGCGTTCACACGCCGGGAGCCACCAAGGAGGGCTGTCAATCCCTCCTCTTGAACTCGGTTCATGGACCGTAAAAAAACAGAGGAGGTGGGGGGGAAAGAAACGCGTAAAAAGCGTTTTGGGCCACCGACTGTGAGCAAATGCGTCCCCCCCCAGCGATGGATCGTCTCGCGGGCTCAGGGAAAACCGTAGTTGACATTGAGCGTTCTTCTCGCATCGCAAACAGGTCCACAGCTGCTTTGCCAACTTCTGCTGCGTCTGAAAAACATCAGATCCGGATGGAGGATCCGGTCCACGTAACGTGGGCCGCCCTTGGACGTCACATCAGAACACCGGATATGTAAACCGCTCTAATAAAAGCAGGTTTTGATGAACCCAACTCAGTAGCTTTCGCACAATGTGTAACATCTGGCTGAACGCACACCCTGATGGTTATGTATGCAGCAGTCATCATGATGTCTGTGTGAATCAACACGTGTTGATTCTGTAGCACAGGAGCAAGGTGTTGAATCACATTCAGTACTGTGCGACACTCCAAAACATTGATGTGGGCTGATGTGTAGTGGGGCCACAGCGCCCCTACTGCTTGAGATAGGTATGTCCCCCCCCCAGCCTGACAGCAACGTGTCCGTGAAGACTGACCCATGACGTGGGTCTGCTGAGGGGGACTCCCTCTGATAGAAAAACAAGGTGTTTCCCCAGAGTCGGAGGTCTGCTTCCACAGAGGAAAAGACAATGATCATCCGTCGTTGTTTTACTGGATCCACATGCAGACGTGCAAAAACACCTCTAGAGGCGTCTCATGTGATAAATGAGTTTTCATGGTGGTTGAATTTAATTCCACTCCAGAAAAACAAATGTCTGGGCCGGGAAAATCGAGCTTCCTTCCACTTATGGCGAAGCCCAGATTAACAGGTGTGATGTCAACACCTGATCCTGCATCAGCGCCTCCTGTCTGAAGTGACAGGATCCGCAGATCATCCAGGTAAAAACAAAAAACTCTCGTCTCTGTGTTTTAGGATGATCGGTATGCGTTCTCTG